AAAAAAAAAAAAAATCTTACCCCAAACTTTTGAATGGTAGTGTTTCATGGTTTCCACAAAAATATTAAGCAACAAAATAGTTTTGAACATTGATAATAATAGGAAATGTTTCTAGAATGATTAAGACTGCACTAATGATGCTGAAAATTCATCTTTGTCATCATAGGAATAAATTTGATTTTAAAATGATATGTTCCAATAGAAAACATTTTTAATCGCAATATTATTTCACAATATTACTGTATTTTTAATCAAAGTAAATGTAGCCTTAATGAGCAGAAGAGGCTTCTTTCAAAAACATCAAAAATGCACCTGAAAAAGCTGACTACTGCTTTAAGTGATTGAATGAAAACTATTCTTGCTCTTGTATTTCAGCTTCAGTGCAGAACTCCAGTCAGCCAGCAGAGAGCAGCACTGGAGAGTGCTCAGCTGTTCCCACCCACCTCCACATCCACGTGTGGAGCAGCATCATGGGAAGTGTGCAGGGTGTGCCTCAGACGTTCATCCAGGCAGTGGAGATGAGGTACAGCACTGCTTCATTCAGACTTGTATTGCTCTTATCATCTCACTTTCCTGATAGCAAACATGATAGCTTTTCATTAATGTTTGAGCGTGATGTCTGGATGCATATACAGACTTGTGATACTTTGAGAACGTTCTGTTTTGCATTCACTCTTTTTCCAATTTTCAGTTTCATAGAAACAACATGGAGGATAGAGTGTGGTATGGGCAGGGTGAACCCATGTTCAAACCCAGAGCTAATGCAAAATTTCCCTGTGACCTCGTCTGTGACCTTTACTGACAATCCTCTTATTACACAACCCCCTAGATCCAGGTGGGTCCTACACGCACACATATAATTGAGATTACTGTATAGATACAGTTGCATTTTAATTTCTAAATGTATTTATGTTTACAGTTTCAGTTTAACTCTGAAGGTTTATTCGGGTATCTTCTCTGCTGCAGGTTCAGTATTAACTTCACCGAGTTTGACTGTGACAGGAACGATGTGTGCTGGCCCGAGCTGGCCTTCCCTCTCACGAGATACTATACTGGTGAGGGCTTGGGTTTTTTATGGTTACCAATAGAATGAGACCGAAATAACCTTAAACTCTGTTCTGTTGAAAGAGTCAGCAACACTTAATATACTATATCATTTTTGTTTTTTTCTATGTGTTGGAGTCTGTGCTGAAGTTGTAGCACATTCTTTAAATAAGTTATCGCTCATGTTTTGGTATATTTGGATGTTTGATGTGAAATATGAAGCACTAACGGTAGTCTCCTGCAGTGTGACATGCTAGATAGACCTCATCTACAACTATTTTAAACATCATTTTTGTAATTCTTGTGTAGGCAGTTGTTATGAGCTCATATTTGGGGACAACAAAATATTTATGCTTTAAAAATGTAATTATTCACACTGCAGAACTGTTTAGGTGAGCTGCACAGCACCTAAACATACAGTTTCTCTTTCACAAAAAATGTATACATTTTAACCTAAAACCTTAATTCAGTCTTAAATTATGAATTATGAATTTGACTTTTTGTCTTTGTTTTTTTGCAGGTGAGCCGTATTCCCAGGCTCTGGCTAAAGGTCTCGTTCTAGTGTTCTTCTTCATTGCTGCGTCTGTTTTAGGAACACCATGGAGACAAATCAGACAGGCATGGAATAGTGCTTCATTATGAAAGAAAGCAAGAGAAAATTATCTATCAAATAGAATTTGATATGCAATGGTAAATAGCTGTAAAGATGTTGTTTATTTTCCTTTTCTGGTTTGTAAAAAAAATTTATGCATTATTTATTATGTTTTGAAAACTTTTGTAGGTCACATTTATTATGTACAGAGAACTTTTGTACTTTAAAAAAAACAATTAAATATTGAATGCAAAATAAAAAATTTATATATTTCATATGTAAAAAACAATGTTTTGTTTCTTACACTCCTATATATGTAACAAACTATCACATATAATAATAGTAACTAATAAGGATAATAATAATAGCAACAACACCAATATTAATTATTTATAATATCATTATTTTTATAAGTAAAAACACTATTTAGTTTCATACATTATGATATATGTAACAAACTATCACATAATAATAATTGTTATTATTATTATTTTGTTTTCTCCACTAATATATTTAACAAACTATCACTATATAGTAACTAATAATAATAATACGCGACACTAATCATATTATTGTTGTTATTGTTTGTAAAAACAATGTTTTGTTTCTTCCACTACTACAGTATATATTATGTAACAATCTATTGTATATAATAATAATAATAATAGTAACTAATAATAATTGCAGCAATAATATTAATAATTATTATAAAACAATTACATGTATTCTACTATATATTGCATATATTATTATTATTTTAATTTGGTTTCTTCCACTAATATGTAACAAACGATCACTATATAGAACTAATAATAATAATAACAACAGCAACAGTATAATAATTTGTAATATTATTATTGTTTTATATGTAAAAGCATTGTCTTGTTTCTTCCACTACTGTATTTATAACAAATAATAATAGTAGCAGTAGCTAATAATAATAATCCACTAAAATATATGTAGAAAACTATCACATATAATACTACTACTAATACTAATAATAATACTAACAAGAATTGCAGCAATAATAGGAACAATTACCGGTATTATAAAACAATTATATGTATTCTACTATATATATATA